GTTAGGGAGGCAGGGACGAGCTGGTACCCTCCTCCCTTCGCCCTTCAGAATCTGTCTGATTTTGTCATAGTTATTGATATTATAGTCACCCAGGAGTTAGAAATGGTGTAAATCCATTTAGCTGTTCCTCTGTAACTATCTAGGTAAATAAGTCCCTATCTTCCATAAACTCTGACTCTAGCTCAGAGCTGTTGACCTCATCGGAGGGTTCCAAAACCAGGGTAGTTGTCCATAAGAAGTTTAAACATCCCAAGCAATTCCCTCATAGTTGGTTCATCAGGACTTCCAAGGAATCCTGATGTGTATCATTCAGGATGTAACTGGCCCTTTTTCACCTTTTGCATCTTCTGGTCAACTCATGAATGATAGTGAACTAGCAATTTTAATTCTGGGGCCAGATTCTGTGTGGAATATAAAAATTGAGAATGCTGACAGTTACACAGTGGATCTGCCAATGATAACTTCAGAAGAAAAAACTTTCTTTTTATCTAATTACCTCTATCTATAGTTTTCTTTTCATCTCCATGTAAAAATATGCTACACAAGGAGAATGAATGAAACATGTTTTAGAGATTATTTTTAGTGCAGCCCTGCATCAAACAAGAAGATTTGTATTTCAAGGTGTGCTGATGAATTAAAAATTAAGCATCCAGATGGTTCAATATAACTGCCTTGTAGATTTATTTCTCGTTCAAATGTTTAAGATAACACTGAAGACGCTAAATAAATATGCTGGATCAAATAATACTGTTTTATAATACCTTCCGGTTTCCAGGCTTCAGAACTGGCAGCATTCATTCAGACTAAAAGAGACCTTGGCTGCAGAGCACCATATGTGGCCACAATAGAAGAAGGAATTAACAGCCATACCAAAACAGCCAAAGAGTTTTGGAGACTCTTAGGTGGACAGTCAAGCTACCAAGGTAATGATAGTAGCTGTGAATTTAAGATTTGAATGCAATTAAAAGTTTCTTTAATCTTACCAAATCTTAAAGATTTATTTCAGAATGGGAACATGAATGTATTTTCCAGAACTTATTGAAAAATTAATAGTAGGAACAGGAGTGAGAATCATTTATGTGACTGTGTTCCAGCAAAAATCATCATGTCACTGTGTGACAAGTTCTACCTCACACTCCCCTTGCAACCCCAGCTCAAAACCTTAAATCTGTGTTATTGTCTATAGTTACTGAGTCATCAACTAATGGGAATAGCTTTGTCTTAATGACCTAATCTAAACCTCTACAACCATTAATCTCTCCTTAATCTCCTTTGCTCTAAGGAGAACAATCCCAGCCTCTCCAGCCTAACCTTGTCAATAGAATCCCCCTTTCCTGGAATAATTCTGATAAATTTCAGCACCCTAAGGACACCACCACTCTGCAAGAGACACTAGAAATGTCTGTTTAAGTTTTTGTTTTAATCAGACATGTTATGATACACTTTCAAGGCAGGAAGGATCCTCTAGCTGGGATCGGGGGAGGGGGGAAGGTGGGACGCCTACCACTGTAACATTATATGTGCTCAAGTAACCATCCAGTCAGTTCTTTCCCACCTAAATGTAGGTATTTTGTTATCAGCCTATTCAGGGATGTTATTACGCACATCTGGAACAAGTGGGACTTGAACCCAGACTTCCTGGTCCAGAGGAAGAAATACTTATCACTGTGCCACAAGAGCCCTCCCACCTATATTTACTTAACCTCGATTTATGCAGTTAAAACAATTACTTGTTGATTTCCTCGCCCCCGATTATTGTTTCCATAGTAGCATTGGATGTTTCGTATCTCCAAATTGTGGCAGAATCATTAATGTTTAAAGGAATCTTGTAGCATAGTGGTTCATCACTACCTCTGAGCCAAGAGGCTCAGCTTCAAGTACCATCTGCTTCAAATTTGTGTCATAACATGTCTGAACAGGTTCATTAAAATAAATAGTGTATTTTCAGATCTATCTTAAAATAGAACTTGGTTTAGTCTTCATATTGTGTTGTGTAAGCAGATTTCAGTTAGTACTTTGCAATAAAGAGACTAAAATTGTATGGAGTTCCAACTTCTGATCATTACAGTGATTTGTAAAGTCAGAATTTGATTCCATCAAGTCAAATAGCCTGCTAGCCCCACTCTCAGGCCTTGCAGTTAATCAGTAATGACTGAATTACTGAAGGGGAACCGACAGTTCGCAAGAATTTTTTTCACACAGGGTGGTCGATGTCTGGCACAGGCTCCCTGAGGTAGAGGTAGAGGTGGAGGCAAGTACAATTTTGTCCTTTAAGAAACATTTGGACTGGTACATGGATGGGATTGGTATGGAGCTATATGGACAAACCTGGCAAATGGGATTAGATTAATTGTGAAAACTGGGCAGCATGGACAAGTTGGGCTAAAGGACCTGTTTCTATGCCGTCAACCTCTGACTGTAAGTCAGTGGCTTCATGAGAGGACAGAAGTGCATATAAACCAGTAAAGAAAAATATACTTCCAATATTTAACCTGTGAGATATCATGGAAAGGACCTTGATTGTAATTCTGAGAAGATTAATGTTGATTTTGCTTAACATTCTGTAAATCTGAAGTTAATTGATTTGAATTTAGCTCACTAAATTCTGCTTCCTTGTAGCGTCTGTGCTTTTCTGCATTCTGGTTATGTTTGGCACCTGTAATAGTAATTGATCCTCTGTTTTACGAAGTGTCCCAATTAGATTGCAACGTGTCAAACAATGTCATTATACTTACAACAACAGAATTATGCTAACTGACTTCTAGTGATGTCCTGGTTTCTCCAGATCTTGGAGCATCACTTGACGCATATAGAATGGAGGTGTTGTACAGTATACTTCTCCCTACTGTCAACATGAGTCTTGTAAAGAGAGGAGAAACCAAAGTCATCTTGTTACAGCAGGATCGTAGAAAATATATTTCAGACATTGTGATTGTATGATTAAATGCATTATTTGATTTGATTAATTATTGTCACATGTACCGAGATATTGTTTGCTAACCAGTCAAGTCGTACCTTACATAAGTACACAAGAGTAATAGAACAGAATATAAAATATAGTGTTACAGCTGCAGAGCAGGTGCAGAGAAAGATAAACTGTAACGTATGAGAGGTCTGTTGAGAAGACTGAAAGCAAGGAAGAAGCTATTCTTGAATCTGTTGGTACGTGTTTTCAAACTTGTGAATCTTCTGCCCAATGGAAGAGGGTGGAAGAAAGTATAACAGGGATGGGAGGAACATTTGATTAAGTTGGCTGCTTTCCCAAGGCAGCGGGAAGTGTAGATGGAGTCAGTGGAAGAAAGGCTGGTTTTCGTGATGGACTGGGCTGCGCTCACAACTCTGTAATTTCATGCTGTCCGCCAAGTTTTGATGAATGTGTACTTGTTGCAATCTGAATAAACTAAGAAAATATTAGTTAGCTCATTTCTGTGGGTTTATGCCTTAAAAATGCAATAGGTAAAACCAGCTTCCTGGTCTTCCCAGCTGAGGGTTTCTAAATGTTAAGTTGCATAAACAGAAAATCATGGGTTGAGGAACACAGAAGCTGAAAATCCCACCTTCATGTATTTCATCTTAGCCCACCTTGTGCAAGTTATTGCTAATACCTCTTGAGCAAGATCCAGTCATTTTTCAATAGATACTCCGTCTTCACAGGAGGTCATGGACCCACTCCTCCTTGTTCATTTCCCCAATTCTGTTTTTATATACAGTTTGTAATGAGCCATCAATTAATGAAACATCGCAGAAAGATTGTCTAAGCGCAGCAAAACCTGGACAACACCCAGGCTTCAACTGAAAAGTGGCCAGTAACATTGACACATGTTGAGGGCATGTGAAGTTTACTGTGGGCAGGAGACTGTAGACAGATAGAGAAAGTAGAGAATTTTACAAGTTCTGAGAATGTACATGCTCATTAGAGAAGTATTTCAAATAAAACTACGTTGCTTTTGCAGGTGCTGGAAACCCAGATGAAGATGAACTGTATGAAAGTGCAATCGTAGAAACCAACTGTATTTATCGCCTAGTAGATGATAAACTAGTCCCTGACGATGACTTCTGGGGAAAGATACCACGGTGCTCTTTACTTAATTCAAAGGATGTAAGTATTTGTCAAATGATGTAATAGAGGAACAGCCTCCAGTAAATGGCTTGGTGAATACACTGCATGGTGAAAGACTGACGGATCAGGGTTTAATCCTGTTTGTACTGAACTAGAATTGTACTTAGTCTCAACCAAGATGCTTACATGGCCATAATGGTCGTGCTGAGGAGAGAGAAGGAAAAAAGGGGACCAGTGCTCCAATTCAGTAACCATGGTTGCATGAATATACATCAGGATGTAACTTGATTGTGATATTTCATACAGTCACCTAATCTATTGGCAGTTACACTCTAACTCACAAGTGAAAAATGGCTACATGCTTGAAGATTGCCAGGACTTGTAGAATCAAATCTCTGAGTTATTGCATTTTGTGGACAAAGATGGTGGATGTGGGCAAAAGGACAAAGAGAAATAATAGTATAAAAGAAGGCCTAGAGCAAGAGATGTTTGCACTCAGCTCAAGATAATTCTCTTTGTTTTAAAGTCAATGACTTATTTTTTATTTGCATTAGAGGTAGCAGTTGCCATCCCTGAAATAAATTAATAAACCAGATGGATTTTTCAATAATCCAATGGCTTGCATGGTCATGTTCATAGAATCCCTACAATGTGGAAGCAAGCCCTTCGGACCAACAAGTCCACACCGACCCACGCAGCATCCCACCCAGATCCATCCACCTATAACCCACCTAGTCTACACTTCCCTGAACACTATGGGCAATTTAGCATGGCCAATCCACTTAGCCTACACATCTTTCGACTGCAGGAGGAAACCGGAGTACCCGGAGGAAACCCACGCAGACACAGGGAGAATGTGCAAACTCCACATAGCCAGTTGTCTGAGGGTGGAATCGAACCCAGGTCCCTGGCACTGTGAGGCAGCTGTGCTAACCACTGAGCTACTGTGCTGCCCTATGTTCTGCTGCTACAGACTGTTACTCCAAGATTTGAACCCATGATCTCTGGCTTTACTACTCTTGCACTATAACTCACAAGTTACTTTAATCAGATACAGACATCTGTAACTTGCCTTCTCTTGGCATCTCTTAGCACCCCCAAAAGACTCTGGTTGTTTGCAGAAGTGTCAGAGTTTGGGGAAGGTGGCCGGTGGGGTGGAGCATGGCAGAATTCAAAGCAGGAGATTTTAGGAAAGTGACTCAATGCTTGGTCAGAAACATTTATTGTAAAGGGAAGAGATGTAAAGAGGAAATTCCTAAACATAAGCACAGATGGTTGAAGACACTAAGACTTTTTAAAAAAAACCTTACAAAATATTGTTGCGTGTTGTTCTGGTCTAAGGGGTTTGTTTTTTTTCCCTACTGATTTTCTCATACCTTAATAACCAGAGAACAGAAAGCTGACTTCCATCTGCCAGTGTTGTTCTTGCTGTTGCCTGTGAAAATAACTGGCTCAACGTGACTGCATGCACACTAACCACCTGCAAAGTGATTGTTCCTCCGGTGTGAAATTCAACCATCAAATATCAAAGGGTTGTTTTGCTGGCATTTGAGGAAAGGGGTGCATCTCATTTAAGCTATACATGAGCATTTGCTGTGTTGGAGTTAAGCTCTCTATCAGGACTTGCTTAATAATGAGAATCTTGGCTGATTCCTCTTCTTGTTTTCACCCACAAACAGACAGGTGACACTGAAATAAATTTATGTCCATCTGCTGTCCTGTTGGAGTCAAATAATTGACCACAAATCAGTGACTGAACTAGAGATAATAACATGATTGTACTTCTTGATTAGTATCTTTTCTGATTAGTTATATTGCAAATAAACTTGCATGCAATTTTTTGAAGTTGTGGAGTATTTTTCATAGGTGCTGGTGTTCGATTTTGGCAGTGAAGTGTACGTGTGGCATGGAAAAGAGGTCACACTAGCACAGCGAAAAGTAGCATTCCAGTTGGCAAAACATTTGTGGAATGGTACATTTGACTACACAAACTGCGACATCAACCCTTTAGATCCAGGCGAATGCAATCCGCTGATACCAAGGTAACTTTGGTTTACACTATCAGTTTACAGCATGCAACGAATGTAACTAACTATAAAACTGGCCCAACACTAAAGTCCCCCCACCGCACCTGACTACCCTGAGCTGACCCCTTAGCATCCACACCGACACTTTTCCACTCTACCCTCTCTCAGCTGCCACCTTAACCTTCTCACCCACTTACCTTGTGCACTTACCTTCTCCCTATCAAAAAGACTTGAGATATTTAATTCCTGTAGTACAGCAGTTACTGCTGTAAAACAGTGATTGTGGTTTGGCCTCCTGCACTGATCCTGAGCTGCACTATGAGGCTTCAAGATCTGCTCTGTGCTTCTGGAGAGGCCCAAATCAGACATTCAGGCCAGAAATACAGACTGTCAGAGCAGTGTAACAATCCAACTGTGACTGCCATTCATTTGACCCATAGAAAAGTGTATGTATTCTTGTCAGGATGTTTTTTTTTCAATTAAAAACTTAGATTTCTCTGGTAGCAATGAAATTAATCACTAACAGTGAAGTTTCTCAAGTGGGCAGCTCTGGTTAATGCCAAGCAGACAACAAACACACACCCCCTCCACTCACCAACCCAACCCCAGCATTGTTTTCGGTTGAACTACTATGAGAAGCACAGGCACCTCCAGTGCAGGCCACTAGACTGAAATATTTACTTAAGGATCTTTACAGTGATAATGAAATGATGATGAGCACCTTGTAAAAGTACCATTTTATTCCATTAAATAGATGGTGTACCTTTGAATGTGCCGGTGTCAGTATATAGCTTCGCTGTTAACAAATATGAAAGTACTATTTATTACGTTGAGCAGTAATTGTAAAGGCACAAATTCTTTTATCTAGTTCTTTGGCCAAGATTCCACTTTGAACAATATGTCATGTGTTAAGATGTCAGGTGCCAAGTGTTAATCCTAACCAGCTGCTTGCTTTTTTTTCACGTGTAGGAAAGGTCAAGGTCGTCCTGATTGGGCAATTTTTGGCAGGCTGACCGAGCACAATGAAACTATTTTGTTTAAGGAAAAGTTCCTGGACTGGCTAGATTCAAAGAAGCCCTCACCAAAAACTGGAGTTGAAGAGGAACAGAAGGTGCAATTCTTTTGATTACCATATTCGGGAAGCAAAAACGTTAATCCTTTCTGCCTGCAAAAACACCAATAGTCATGTGTAATGCCTGATAAAGTGAGGGAATTGAATATTTTAGACCTGTCTGCTGATCTGCTTTTGATCAAAATTTTCAGTCATATCAGAGTTTCCCATACACCATTTTACTTGAGATTTACTTGAGCTGTATGCTTTACGAGGTTTCCTCTAATCTATCAATAATTTTAACAATCCTAATGGCACATGAGTCAAAATCATTCAGTTAATGGACAATACTCGATTTACTGCCTTTGTTTGTTATTATTTGATTGCCTTAAACAAGCAGAATCCATTGATGTCAGTGTCATAGGAACACAAGATTTGATATGGACTACATCATCTTTCAGAAATAGGCCAGTCGACCCATTTTATCTATAATGTAACATCCAAGTATTCACTGATTTTAAATTACAGTAGCAAATAGCTTTAGAAATTTTGTAAGAAGGTGAGAGCGAATTGGACCCTAATTTGTTTGAAAAGAAGTAATATATCTTAGTTGTGATTGTTGGAAAGAGGATGGAAATATCTGACCAACCAGCCACTTTTTCTGCCCTACCCTACTAACAGTGAATGTTTGGATTTCGGTGAACTGGATTGGCATGTTCCCTCTATCCCACTGTGTGATATATATGAACTCTTACATAGCACTTGTGTAAGAAAAAATGTAATAATCATTAAAGATCATGGAGACAATGTAGATACAAACAATCAGATCTAAGCTCTGTAGTCTGCCACATCCATTCTTGAATAGCAGTGAGCAATTAAACAACAGGAGGAAGAGACTCCACAAATATCCTCATTTTCAGTGACTGGAGTTGGGAGGAGAAATGTCTCCAGCACATCAGTGCGAAGATATCGCTAAAGCATTTGAAACTGTCTTCAGGCAGAGGTGCCGAGTGGATGATCCATCTCTCCCTCCTCCTGAGGTCCGCAGCACCACAGATCCCACTCTTCAGCCAATTCGATTCACATCACATGATATCAAGAAATGGCTGTAAACTCTGGATGCTGCAAGTACTACGGATCCAGACAACATACTGGCTGTAGTACTGAACAGGTAAATCCAGAACTAGCCACACCCCTTGCCTAACATTTCTGGTACAGCTGTAACACTGGTATCTGCTCAACGATATGGAAAATGACACGACTATGTTCTGTCCACAAAAAGCAAATTCAACTCATGAAATTACTCTCAATCAACAGCACTGTGACAGAAGGGTCCTGGGATAGTACTATTGCACTTATTCAGCAATAACCTGCTCACTGATGCTCAGTTTGTATTCGTCCAGGGCCACTCAGCTCCTGACCTCATAACTGCCTTGGTCCAAGCATGGACAAAAGAGCTGGTCGACAGAGATGAGGCGAGAGTGACTGCCCTTGATATCAAGGCAACATTTAACCGAGTGTGGGAACAAGGATCCCTAGCAAAATTAATATCTTTAGGAAATGGGGAGAAACTTTCCTCTGATTAGAGTTATGCCTTATGCAAAGAAAGATTGTTGGAGGTGAGTCATCTCAGACCCACTTCATCTCTGCAGGACTTCTTTGGGGTAGTGGCCTCGGCCCAACCATACTCAACTGCTTCATCAGCAACCTTCCCTCCATTATAAGGTCAGAAGTGGGGATGTTTGCTGACAATTGCATAGTATCAAAGTTGTTCATGACTTCTCAGGTACTGAAGCAGTCCATGTCCAAATTTAGTAAGACTTGGACAACATCTGATTTAGATCGATAAGCAGCAAGTAACATGTATGCTACATAAGTGCCAGGCAATAACCACTGCCAACTAGATTCTCTCTTGATCTCCCCTTGATATTCAATGGCATCGCTACCATTGTTATCCACTTTATTAACATCCGAGGAGGTTACCATTATCCAGAAATTGAACTACGCCAGCCATATGAGTACTGAAGCTACAAGAGCAGGTCAGAGGCTGGGAATTCAAGGTAAGAACCTTGCCTCCTGATTCTCCAAAATCTGACCATTCTTTAAAAGCACAAGTCAGTGATGTGAAAGAATACTCTCCACCTTCCTGGACAGATGCTACTTTAACACCATTCATTCCTTAAACGTCCACACTCTCCACCATTAGTGTAATGTAACAGCAGTATGTGTCATCGTTAGATGCCCTGCAGCAACTCACCAAGACTGCCTTGAAAGTACCTTCCAGACCTGTGACCTCTACCATGCAGAAGGACAAAGGCAGCAGACGCATGGGAATGCTACCACCTGCAAGTTCCCTTCCAAGACATGTCCATAGATCATTGAAGGCAGCAAGACAGGTAGATAAGGTGGTCAATAAGGCATTTGAGATACTTCCCTTCATTAGTCAAGGCATTGAGTTCAAGAGCAAGGAGGTTATGTTGGAGCTGTATATAATGTCAATTAGGCCACAGCTGGAGTACTGTGCAGTTCTGGTCATACTACCCTTTGATTGCACAGGTTAGGGTGCAGAGGAGATTCAGTAGGATGTTGCCTGGGCTAGAGTAATTCAGCTATGAAGACAGACTGTTAGGCTGGGGTTGTTTTATTTCGAGCAAAGAAGGCTGAGGGAGGACCTGATTGAAGAGTACAAAATTCTGAGGAGCATAAAATATGAGCCAAACTCAGGCAAATTAGACTAGTTCAGTTTAGCAAACCTGGTCAGCATGGAGGGTTTGGGCCAAAGGGTCTCTTTCTGTGCTCTGACTCTATGATACGACGATTAGGGAGAAACCATTCTCCTTATTAAAGGAGTCATTGATGAAGGGGCACAGTTTAAGGCAAAGAGCTAAGATTAGAGGGGACTTGAGGAAAGAAAATTTCACCTAGAGAGTTGTAGGTTTCTGGAACTCCCAGCCTAAAGGGTGAAGGAGGTTGGAACCCTCGAAACATTTAAAGACTATTTAGATGAACACTTGAAATGCCATAGTCTTGTGAGCTATGGCCTAGTGCTGGAAAATGGGATTAGAATAGATGGATGTTTGATGACCATCACAGATATGAGGGCATCTTTTCATGCTGTAAAATCTCTGACTCCCTAAGGCCCATGCCATCCTGACTTGGAACTTTATCATTGTTTCTTCACTGTCACTGGTTCAGAATCCATGAACTGCCTTTATAACAGCACAATGGGTGCACCTATTGAAGAAGACTACTCACCAACACCTTCTCCAGTGCACTTAATAATCGCTGTTTTAGCCAGTGATACCCACATCATGTGAAAGAATAAAGTTTTTTAAAAAGTGTGTATAAATTTTCAGAAGCAATGTAATACAAGCCTCACAGGAGACATTATGCATGCATTTGAAATTTACGAGATTGATGGGTTAATGAATATCACTTTAATTCTTAAGTGGTTGGAGTGGTGGATGTGTAGAGTCAATTATTACATCTCCATTATTTTTAGTATTTTAAGAGAAAAAAACATATAAAATAATGCATCTTTGGAGAAAAAAAGAGAGAATCAAAATGTTTGCTGGCTGTAGTTAGGAAGAGATGGAGGGATTTAAAATATAAGTCCTTAATGTGAGTGCCTATAGATCAAGCCATACAACAGCTGTTCAAATTTGTGGCTTTTAGAAATATGATCAAAAATTTTAAGAGCCAAAAGATCGTGATACATTTATGTTGAATACTGTATGCGACTTGGGTACTTTGCTACCAGAATCAACTTATGAAGTGTAATCACTGTTGTAATGTAAGAATTGCAGCAGCTAATTTGAGAACAGCAAAATCTCTCAAACAACTGTTCTAGCAGCTTTGTTTGAGTGAAAAATATTGGCAGTACAACAAGAAGAATTCAACCACTCCTGCATCCAAGAAGGACAAGTCCATTTAACATCTGCTCTAAAAGATGACTCTTCTGAAAGTGCACCAATCCCTCAATATAGAAAATACACTAATTTTGTGATATCAGTGACCTGTTACTGTAGTAATAAGGAAGATATAGCTATCACTTTTTAAAGGTATGTAATATGATTATTTGCATTAAGTCCCAACCTAATTCATTATTTTTCCACTTATTGGAAGTGTAGTCTGACTTGGTTCATGATTTTACTAGTCTGTATACTCCATAGGATATGTGGCATAGAAGTAGGCCATTCCCATTCGACCCACCCAGTCCAGGCCAATGTTTATGCTGCATTTGAGCCTCTTCTCAGATTCATTTAAATGTAACCCTGTTCCATTCTCCTTCAAATACTTGTTGAGGTTCCCCCTAAATTCATCTATGCTATTCACTTCAACCATTTTGTAACAGCATGTTCTTTATTCTCATTACTCTGCATGAAAAGCTTTCTTCTGAAGGCCCTATTAAAATGCTTATGACAATCTTGTACTGATGGCTACTAGTGGAAACACTTACTACAAGAGGAAAATTTTCTCTGTATGCACTCTTATCAAAATCTACCATAATTGTCAATACCATAATAGATCACCTTTCCTTGTCTTTCTTGATTAAGGAAAGAAACCGAGCCTATTAATCTTTCCTGATGCATATGCATACTCATTTCTTAAGTATTTGTTGCACCTTCTCCAGTGCCTGCAATACGGCAATCAGAACTGGAGACAGTATCTTTCAAGAAGATTAAGTGTGGACTAACCAAGGTTCAGTATAAGTTTAACACAATGTTTGTACTTTTTGATTCCGTCCTTCTATAAATAAAGCTTAGCATTTGATTTGCTTTTTTAATGGTCTTGCAGACGTGAAGCAACTTTCAATGATGAGTGTATTTTAACACCGAGATCCTGTTGTTCCTCTGCCCCACCTACAGAGTACACCTGTGAACATCAGGGGGAGAGTGAATGAATGATGGTGGATACTTTTTTATTAGTTGAAACCAAAGCAACAGAATCCAGCACTGTAGCAGTATTATGTTACTGTAGGATTAATACCAAGCCTCTAACAGTTTATTATTTTAAATCTACAAAAGTTCTAGCTAGACTTTTTTTATATCCCATCAGTGTGAAGCTGGTGAGAATTAGATTTTCATTCATGCACTCAATTCTGGTGGCGAGATGAATTAAACTCTTGACAGACTGTTTGTTTTTGTTTCCTTCAGTATTGCTCTGGTTGTTTCCATTGTGGATTAGCTATAACTGAAAGTGTTCAAGTGGTGTGTGATTATTTCCTACCTAACTCCAGGAATCAGTCACAAATTCTACCTTATTTGTAGCTTGAAAATGACACACAATCTATTACAAAGAAAATTAACTTGTGAAACCAAAATCATTCTCTGAACTGCTTTGGGAAGTGTACATTTGGGAAAGAAAAGGATTGGATTTCATCCCTTTCAAGATTTCCTTGAAATCAACTATTGGTCTTTTTTATTAAAGTGCAATTTGAGACTCAAATTTTGTTAACTGTTTAAATTAAATTTGCATACAACTTACGCTCATTTATTGTCTTGTAGCAGGAGTATGGAAATGATCTTAAACCATATGATGTCACCCTGATGATTCCTCAGTCTGTAGCCCCTGTTGGGACGACACTAGATGGGTTAAATATCGGACGTGGCTATGGAATAGTAGAGGGAGAAGATGGAAGGCAGTTTGAGATCACCAGCCTCTCAGTTGATGTATGGCACATACTTGAATTTGACTATAGTAGATTGCCCAAGCAGAGCATTGGGCAGTTTCATGAAGGCGATACCTACGTGGTGAAGTCAAAGTACCTGGTCAGCACCACAGGTTAGTGTCTATGGTATGAAATTAAAGTATTTGATACAGGTTCTAAAACTAAACCAAATAGAAATGATACTTAGAGTCTTAACAGAGCAAGGCTAAAAGTCTTGTAACTTCTATTTTGCTTATATTGCTGGAATGTATAATTCCAAAATGCTGTGACATTTAGATGTACACCAAATGAGGGTACAGAATGGAGGTGTATAGTGCATGTGAGTCACAAGGCTGAGAGGCCTGAGTCATGGAGTCTTGGTTAATCTTATGGCTGGGTTTCACTTAAATAAATATTCACAGAGTTCCACCCAACTCCACTGCTTGGCCATGGCCAAAAGGAAACAGAAATTTGGCTGCAGAACAGGAGCTGAGTTGGAGATGCTGGGACGGGTCAGGCTTAGAGAAATACTCTTAGTCCTGGCCCAAAATCAAATGCAACGGTAATTTTTTTTAAACTGAACCACCTGTACTCTGCTGGGGTCACAATCCTATCCTGTTCAAGTTTCTAATGATCATTGCAGTAGCATCCTGAGACCATTGAAACTGTGGTCTTCAGATTTGAAGGAAGACTCTTCTCTTTCCTTGTGAGAATTTCCTCCTCCATTCACCCTTCCCTGATCTCACACCTGCATGTTCAAAAGTGGAGTTAGGATCAGTCTTGGCCGGAAGGCAACAGGATCAGGCTTCATTATAACTGCCCTTGCCTGGTTCCTACCAGCGAATTAAAATCATGCCAGATAGTTATTTGTTTTTAGCCAGTTCAGCATTCATTGGTACATATGGAAAATAAAGGAATAAGTGAATAAAATTTTATTCCCACCAAAACCACCTGTTTTAAACAACTCTCATGAACGTATATTAATTTGGTTATATATTTCCAACATTTTCTGTGGGATTTGTTTTCAGATTTCTCACATCTGCAGTATTTTAGTTCTGTAATGATAAACGCCTATATGAAATAGTATTATTGAATGTAGTGGGACTTCTTCACAGTCAATGTTTCAGCAGAACAAAGCTAGGTCTCTGAAAATTTGTGTACACATGGTATTCTTAGTTAATTCCAAGGTAGTGTATTTACAATAACAGTGATTGACACCTGTATAACATAAGTAGAAATTCAGGCAAATGTGCAACAGGCTCCTGGTTAATTAGCCCTTTCCATCACTGACACTCAGTAGCAGCAGTATGTATCTACAACTATACTATTGTGATTCACCAAAGATCCTCAGACAGCACCTTCCAAACCCACAAACACTTCCCACTATAATGACAAGGGCAGCAGATACATGGGAACACTACCAACCAGCAAGTTCCCCTCCCAGGCACTCACTTGGGAGAATATCACCATTCCCTTCAGTGTCGGTGGGTCAAAATTTTGGAATCCCCTCCCTAATGGCATTGTGGGCCAACCTACAGCACATGGACTGCAGCAGTTCAAGAGGGCAGCTCACCACCACCTTCTCAAGGGCGACTAGGGATGGGTAATAAATGCTGGCCCACCCAGCAACACCACTTCCCACAAGTGAATTAGAAAAAACATTTTGCCCTATTATTGAAGCCACATCCAAAGCATCTCTAAGCACAGAGATATTAAGAACTGCTGATGCTGGAGTCAGAGATAACACAGTGTGGAGCCGGAGGAACACAGCAGGCCAGGCAGCATCAGAGGAGCAGGAAAG